TAAGAACCCCTTACGTACGTATCTAACAAATGAATGCCAGGTAGATTCCGTCTATAATTACACTACGCAACGTTCATGATAGCGTGCATAAGAACGTATCTATAAGAGGGATACTAAGCAGATTACGTCTAATAAGTACACTAGGTAACGTTTACGTTAGGGTGCATTTATAAGAAGCCCGTTACGTATCTACCAAAGGTACAAGGTAGCTTAAACGTAAGAAGTTATCCTTTAGCAGCATTATGCGTATCAAATGAAGTAGTAGTAGCTAGTATCAAATGAATCCTTGGCTAAAATTTGTAAGTTGCTAATATGCGATTCAAAGCTTTGGCTGTCTACAGCATCGTCAGAGTCCTAGTACAATTATGGTATCGTTAGTGTGCATACGAGAGCCTTTCGTATCTATCAAAGGTATGACAAGCAGATTATGTATGGACCTATTCTTGCTATAAACGTGGAAGTTCTGTATCATTGATTGACGTATTTCACTAGTAGATTAAAGACATTAAACCCGTGAAACAAAATGTGATAGTCAGATGTACTAGTTAAACAAAGAAATAGGAAAACAACGGAGTATGGCGARTATCAATGCGTATCCATCGAGCACGATTCTTTTTTTCTAATTTCATGTTTTTAACTCTAAGCTGAAGAAGTTATTCTTTTTGGGCATCACGCACGCATCCTCGGAAACCCAGAAAATTATCCCTGAGATTGCCGAGGATGCCACACGKCGCAGTGTAAGCAAGCTACAATAAAAGTAATACCTTATTTATGGATCCTTTCCCTTTGGRAGCTAACTGTGCTTACCTGTTCTGAGCTCTGTTCAATTATGACTAGTCATGTCATGACCATTTCTTAAATATTTAGCGCATTGTTCTGGTATACATTAGATTAATGCCGCAATTTATTGAGCACACATTCGTGCTCTTTTTATCACGCAAGCCGGTGTTYAACACTTAAAAAAACGTTAAAAAGTTACAGCCGACTTGACGATAAACGTACGGACCCTTTACCATAATGRGATATAATAGCGGTAAACCATGAAATCATTGATCTAAAGAATCGGCCGCTGAGCTTTAGACTTTGCCAAACGATCTCAACTTATTCGCTGCATTAGAAGCTCGTAGACTGATAGGCATCAATGTTTACCGCAAAGAATAATTGATGAAAAGAATTCAACTCTGCAAGATGGTATCTAAGTTAGAACAGATTGTACGTCGAATGGATTCAAAGGTATTGGGCCTTCAGGCAATAGTCATATATATAGTTATACTAAGGGCGTGGGTAATGCTATACTTCTTAAACCTGGATCTTACTGTGTCATAGATATATAAATATATAATCATATCTATCAGCGTTGTTYATAAAGATATATAAACAATGAAAGAAATAGACCGAAATCTTAGAGGATGAAGTGTCGAATCGATTTACGTCCCACGGATATACATTTCGGCTCTCCCACCGATCATTAACGTAACTTTTGCGTTCGCTAAGTACCTAATGCACATCGATGGTTAACCTATAATTGAGCTAACTAAGCCACTATCCCCATTATATCGTCGAACTAATTGGGSTAGTCGATTCGTTGAAAGCATCAAGTAGACGGCTGTTATACCAAGCCGGACATAGTCAAGTGTTGTTTGGCGCAAATGGACTTCTCCTAAACCCAAGCAGTAGTTTAAAAGCGATTCTAACTTGCCTACCTTTCGTTTGATTGAGCATTTTATAGCAAATCCGACAGGTCGATCCTAATTCTTTCAAAGGCTTAGTAAGGTTATGTAATCAAAGAAAGATTAAAGTCTCTACACTATTATACACTGACATCAAAAGTYGACATTTCAGTTTCCACTCTTCAGACAGGTCAATAGTCACTTGAGAATCGAGGGGACTACAAAAGCATACTCTGTAAATGTTTGTCAACGGAGAGATTTTGGGATTAAGACAGTGCACTAYATGCTGTAGGCCGACGTGAGTAAATCAAGCATCACTTCATGCCACAATAGCTGCGAAATAGACTCGTTTTTGAGTGAATTTTCTGGAAAATTTGGATGTGACAAAAATAGAAACTGCGGTCAGACTAGTTTATTAGGTAGATCTTATAGGTAGTGTATGAGATTAGACCTTATTTTTAGCTAATCGGTGTACATAWATATAGGTATTAGAAAATCGATAAAAAATTGGGAATTGAAAGCCAACGTATAAAGAAAATAATAAAAAACATGAATGACATAATCCATTCTAGTCCGCCATCACGACTAAATGGATGTGAACCCTTTTGCATTATACATTCAAAAGGTGGGCAGCACATTYATATTGCGAGATTTGAGTTAGAAAAAAATATATTGAATAAAAGACAAAACTATTCATCCATACAGATACATTAGCATTTCAAGAATAGATTAGTGAAAAACATCAGGATCATTTAAAATCTGTTAAATGAAACATAAAGAAGACCTTTACAGGCAAATCGCCGGATTTTGATAGAATTAATGGTCGGTTTAGGTGAAAGGGAGTCGGTAACCGATTRTAAGTGAGTTACAAATGAACCGTCCTCGAGACTTATCGCTACACTAAATGATGACTTTATTCGACAAAGCGGTCGCCAGCTATAAAATTGTAAAAACAATTAGCACTAGTTACTAAAACATCATGAAACAACTTACTTGATTTCTATAAAAGCACTAKAAGGGGYTGGATTAGAAGATAGTTATAGTTTTTGCGCAGTAAAAACTGACCGACCCAAACCTTTTTAATTAGASCTAAGTGACTTTTTTATCGGAGGTTTCCAGAATTTTCCASAAMTTTCAACAAGAATACTAGATAAACTTTACGTAAGTTCCGTTTGATAATYGCWTTCTKATCAGAGCAGGCTGGTCATTTCTCACAATTGGGAATCCCTCTTTATTCCTAGAAATGGGAGTTAAAACTAGATATAAAATGCGCCGTGTYATTARATCTATCTCGAACTGCGCACGGACGTTTTGAAGGCTTTGTATACTTTGTATTACTAGGGTCAGATAGACTAGCAAAACGATTAATGTATCTACATCTGAAATAGCGCTTTCTTTATGCAACATCTCAATAACCATTAAAATATAATATCCTGACTGTGTTTAAAAATTAAAGGAAGTTGTCCAGAGATCTAGATCTACAGTAGACCGCGTCATAAGAAAATGTGCACGAAAAACGAAATCCTTGACGCATTGGGAAAACTCACCGAGAAAATCACTTTGAAACTATGAACAAAAAGCTACTATGAGGGATAAGATTAAACTCGAGTTSTTTTAAACTTTAACGTTGAGGAACAGACTGACATTTTGCGTATACTGCCAGATGCAACATTGCCGCAGATTAGCAATTTGAAAATTGTTAACGTGCAAGCTGAATTTTATTTACATTGCGTTGTAAATAACATTACTGAGGCGAGGAAAATAACATTCTTCTCAAAGGGTAGAAAATCGAACAAATATGAGCCAATAATTTGGGTTATAAATAAACGTTTTCGTAGTACTTTTATCATCACATTAGCTCATCTTTGAATACATTAGATTAGAAAAATATAGTCGTATAATGAAATAACAAAAGGTATTAATTTAACTGTTTCTAAACAACCMAAAAWGCAATATTGAATMCGTGGTAATTGAACCGAATTGTAGKAGAAYCTATCTTGATTTTGGAAAAAAGGAGGACAAGGAGAGTATATTTTTMGRAATGGCCYTGGAAGACTAAGCCYGGSMTACATCATTCAGTGCTGGGATTATTGAAATAACAAGAAACKACACAACAAAATCGAATCAGAAAYAAATCGATCTATAAGTGAAACTGTAAAATAAAATCTTATCGAGTTACCTTAAAGCTGATGTCCTTGTTAAAGTAGATTACTACGTTGTAAGCTGAATACTTTTCTTTGAGGGTTTGAGACCGTTGKCTCACCCAAGGATCCCGGATATAAATAACAACAKGGWTAAATTCCAGTGGTCTGTAGCTGATTACTAGTGATTTTCTCTTTCCTTATTCCATTCAACACCCTGTTCTGAGGTAAACCAACGCTGTTCAAAACACTAGGAGGTATAAAATTCTTGAGCAATGTTGTGTTGTCTCTCAAAGTCCCACGTTGAAGTTCTTGACACAGTGAAGCTAGATTCTTGTGGTGTTAGCAAGACTTGTAATGACTTCTCTTTGACGTCCGTCGTCGACACACGTCTCTAGTTCGTTTAGCTATCAAGGTCACAAGTGTTGGYCACACTTTGTACGATTCCTTATCAAGTCTTGCTGGCTTTCTGTAAATTGAAAATCAATTAATTAACCTCTGAAGAGCAAAGCAAACAGCCAAGTGTCCCGCTCTATAAATTAACACCTTGATATGATTTAATAGTTAACTCGAATTCCCYTGATCGATTAACTATCAGATGGTCATTAGCTAGTAATGTGGTCAAGCAAGGGGCATCACCGTCAGTCAACACATAATAACTGTGCTCTACTCAGCCAATATAAAACGAATGACCCAATATATTTGTCTATCATTAATTAAGTCAAGCYYCAAAGCCATTGTTGGCTTGCAMCGACCCAAGTTTTGTATGTAGAATAAACTTTGTACCCAAGTAATTAAAGTCCCAGCAGGAAATCATTTTGATATGATTTTCGCGTGTTTTTCACTGTGAGGCGTTT